CCGCTGCCCGGTCCCCTGGAGCCGAGAGGGACCGTAATGAAAGCGTCTGGACGCATCATCCTCGGAATGGCCCGGAAGGACAGAGAGCCAGGGTGGTGGCCTCCTCTGGGTGTGGCTGGCCCTGCCCCAGTGCTCCTGAATGCAAAGCCCAGGGAACCAGAGTGCCCGGCGGGGTCTCCCAGCCACTGCCCAGGGACAGTGCCCTGAGATTGTCCCCCACCAGGGGACCAGAGCTCTGTCCCCAAAGGAAAGGGGAAGAGAAGCCAGGTGGCTACAAAGTGACAGGAGGGACACCCAGGAAGAAGTCCCAGGAAGGGACACATACCCTCCCAGGGCAGCTGGGTGGCTTTCAGAGACACCCCTAGCCGAGAGTGTGACCCGGGCCGGGAGCAAAGGGGCTCTGCTGGCTTGTGCTCCTTGTGCCACCGGGGGGTTCCCGGGGCGTCCCTGGTGACCAGAAGGCCCGGCCGGGTGGGCAGGGATCATGGCCGCCGGGTGGGTGGGGGTCATGGCCGCGCTCAGGCCGCGCCCCCACGGGCAGACAGGCAGCCGGACAGAAGCAGGCTGAGCTCACGACTCGCTCATGGACTCGGTTTATTCCTCCCCACCCCATGCTGCGCCCACCGGCCCTCCCCCCAGGGCAGAGCTGCCTGCGCCCCCAATCTCGGGAGCCAGGTGCCCGAAGAAGGCAAGGCGGGGAGGGAGAGAAGAGGGAGGGTAGGCCCCGGCAGGAGGCAGCACCCCTGCGGCCTCACCCCCCCACACACACACACCCCCTGCAGAGAGGGGAGAGAGAAGGAAGAAGCGAGGCGGCCCAGGGCTGGCGGTCACATACTCAGACAGCCACAGGACAGAAGGCGGACAGGAGCACGCCCCCTCCCCGAGAGCCGGGGGACAGGACAGCGGGACTGGAGGGACCCCACCCCCACCCCCGGGGGAGGCATCGGTTCCCCAGGACTCAGGGGGCTGCAGGGCGGGACCGGGGGAGAAACACAACTTGGGGGTGGAGGAGCCCAGGCAGGGGCCGCCTACAGCTTGGTCAGGTCCAGCTTCAGCTTGTAGGGCGGTGTGCTGTCCTCGTAGGCGTGTGACGTCGGAGGGTACAGGGGCCAGTCCGGCTCCACCAGGAAGCCCTTGTGCTGCTCCAGGGTCAGCGGCTGGGGGGGGGAAGGAGGCAGGAGGGTGCAAGGGAGCAGGGGGCAGGGCTGCCGAGTGCCCCCACCTTGGACTTGCCCGATGTCCCGTGGGGAACCAAAGGCCCCTGCCTCCAGGACAGGGACCGGCTTCACCTGGGACCCAGAAGCTGCTCCCTGGGCCTCCCGCCCCCCCCCCAGCCAGGTGCCGCCCGCCACCCGCCCCCACCCACCTGGAACTTGAGGTGCTGGCCCGGGGCGGTCACCAGGGTGGAGCAGCTTAGCCAGAGCATGACCAGCACGGACAGGAAGAGGCAGCAGGCCAGGATCCAGCGAGGCAGCCCCGAGCGCCTGCCCGGCCAGCAGCCATGGCTCAGTTTCCCCAGCCCCCGCCCAGGCTAGGGGAGCCTCCCCTCCCCCACCCCCACCCCCACGCCCCACCCCCCAGGGTCCTGGCACCCACCGGGACATGCAACTGAGGAAGTCACTGTCCTGAGGTTCTTCAGACTCCGCTTTGGCCTTGCTGCTGGTCTTGACTCGGATCTTGGCCTTCCTCACCTTATCCAAGGGGCCTACGGGGTCTGGGAGATGGGCCGGCCACCACTCAGTGCCTCCCCGCCCCTGCCAAGGGGCCACGGTAGCCCCAGGGAAGGGAAGAGAGGCCAGGGCCGGGTGCATGGCTCACGCTTGTCATCCCAGCACTCTGGGAGGCCGAGGCGGGAGGATCGCTCAAGGTCAGGAGTTCAAAACCAGCCTGAGCAAGAGTGAGACCCCCATCTCTACTATAAATAGAAAGAAATTAATTGGACAACTAAAAATATATAGACAAAAAATCAGCCGGGCGTGGTGGCGCATGCCTGTAGTCCCAGCTACTCGGGAGGCTGAGGCAGGAGGATCGCTTGAGCCCAGGAGTCTGAGGTTGCTGTGAGCGAGGCTGACACCACGGCACTCACTCTAGCCTGGGCAACAGAGCGAGACTCTGTCTCAAAAACAAAAACAGAGTGAGACTTTCTCAAAATAAAAAAAGAAAAAGAAAAAAGAAAGAAAAAAGAGGCCAGGGCCTGGGGCATGGACTCCTGGAATGGAGGTGGGAGGCCCGGGAGATGGACTAGGGAACTCTGGAGCGGGACCGCGGACCCCAGGAACTGTGCGATGGGGCCTCCTGCCCTAGAGGACCCCTCCCGGCACTGGGGCGCCCGCGTGAGGAGCCCGGGTCTGGGCTGGGCCTTACCCACGTGCACCTCCAGGGCCTCGGGGTGGGGTCCCCGCCAGGTCACCTCCACGCGGGGCGGGCGGCCGCCCTGGGGCCCAAGGCTCTCCACCACGGGCTGGGTCTGGCCGGGAGCAAGAGGGCACACGGAGGCTGGTCAGAGGCCCGCCTGGGCCCTGGCAGGTGCTTCTCTGGGCCCCAGGTGGACTTCGGTGTCCAGCCGCCCGCCGGGGGGCGGTGGAGTAGGGAGGACACCGCTCTGGGGGCCGCTGCTCTCCCCTAGCTCGGGCCCTTCCACCGGCCTTCGCCTCCCCGCGTCCCAACGTGGCCCGGCCAGCCCAACAGAATCACGGGGATTGGCCGAAAGGCGGTCATGTGATCCAGCCGTGGCCAATCCGAGTAAATCCCAGCTCGGTTAAAAGCCCAGAGGGATCGTAATCTCGAGCCTCTGGCATCCACCCTGCTGTCCAGAGAGAGGGAAGGCCTGGGAATGAGGCCACCACAGGCAAAAGTAGAGTCAAGGAAGGGGTGGAGGCCGAGGCAGGAGGATCGCTCAAGGTCAGGAGCTCGAAACCAGCCTGAGCAAGAGCGAGACCCATTCTCTGCTATAAATTGAAAGAAATTAATCGGCCAAACTAAAAATATATAGAAAAAATGAGCCGGGCGTGGTGGCGCATGCCTGTAGTCCCAGCTACTGGGAGGCTGAGGCAGGAGGATCGCTTGAGCCCAGGAGTCTGAGGTTGCTGTGAGCGAGGCTGACGCCACGGCATCCACTCTAGCCTGTGCAACAGAGTGAGACTCTGTCTCAAATAATAATAATAATAATAAAATAATTTTTAAAAAAAGAAAAAAGAGGAAGGGGTGGAGCCCCTGGATCCAGCTGTGCCTGAAGCCCGCCCACCGTGGCCTCCGCATCCTGTGAGCCGAGGCCCAATGCACCCGCCTCCTGACCCTGACCACCCACCCGCCGCCCTGCCGCGGGCCCTGCCAGGGCTCTCACCTGGAACACCACCAGCTTCCCACTGTCGGTCTGCAGGTAGTACGTCCAGGTAGAGGACACGAAGCCCTGGGCTGAGTTGACAAGGTCATTGCAGAGGGTGGAAAACAAGTCCAGGAGGGAGAGGGCCCCACTCGGAGCTTCCAGGACCTTTCTCTGGGGAGAGGAGGCCCAAGGCACAGAAACGTCATCAAAGGAGGGCACTCGCCCAGGGGAAGGGGCTGGCAGGGGCTGGCTTTGCCCAGGCGGTTTTGGGCAACAGCGTTTCCCAGGACAAACACGGACCCCACTTGCTGCCTCTGGCTGGCTGTGTGCTCTTGGGGGACCGGGTTGCCCTCTCTGGGCTCTAGAATGGGGATGGTGCTCTTCCCTGGTGGGGCTGCCACGAGACAGTGCCTGCTAGGCGCCTGGCACAGCGTAGTGCCACTACTGCTGAAAACGCCACCGTCCTCGCCTCTCCTCATTCTGACAGCGTCAAGAGGGAGCCCCGGGCCGGGCGCGGTGGCTCACGCCTGTCATCCCGGCACCCTGGGAGGCCGAGGCGGGAGGATCGCTCCGAGCTCAGGAGTTCAAAACCAGCCTGAGCAAGAGCGAGACCCCGTCTCTACTATAAAATTAGAAAGAAATTAATTGGCCAACTAATATATATAGAAAAAATGAGCCGGGCAGGCACCGGGGCCGGACCTGCCCGGGGTGCCAACTGTCCAGATCTCACCCTTAGGCAAGAAGGCTGAGGCCAGATGCAAGACTGGAGAGCCGCCGGGGCTTGTGGCCACCTCCCACAACACATGCCATCCTGAGAGGAGAATGCCCCCACATCAAAGAGCCACACACACAGGCAGCCCCTCAGCTACACCACAGCGATGAGCAGGTGGCCACTGCCACCAATGGGAGGGCCTCAGGACCGAAGCTTCCGGGAGGCCACCTCCTCCCAAGCACGCACACATCGCCCTGTCACAGCCGGAGAAGTAGACAACAAAGCTGCAAAAACAAACTGAGCACGAGATGCACAATAAAAACAAACAACAAAAAGGGACCCACCAGAACTGGGACTCCCCAGAAAGCCCATTTCGCCAAAATAAAACATAAACCATTATCCTCTCGTACCTCCACTGTTGCCTTTGGCTTGTCGAAAAGCCCACCCCACAGTGGGCCCTTCCAAATTCAGGGCTCCCCTTTTTTTTTTTTTGCGGAGGCTCTGTTGCCCCACGGCTAAGTGAGGTGCCGTTGGCGCCAGCCTCCTCACATGCAACCTCAGACTCCGGGCTCAAGCGATCCTCCTGCCTCAGCCTCCCAGTAGCTGGGACTACAGGCATAGCGCCACCACGCCGGTCTGATTTTTTCTCTATATATGTAGTTGGCC